ATTTCCAAAGCCATAAAATACCAAATATAATGTTGAGCCTCCTCCTAATTCAAAAGACTTAAAAGAGAAAGTAATACTTTCTCCGTTATCGCCTAATTTTGAAGGACTCAAAGATTATGAACAATAAATTTTACTCCCTTCACAAAATCTACCTTAAAGATCAATTTAACAAAAGTCATCAATAAAATTGATTAATAACAACCATAAGTAATCAACGAATTTCAGTGGAAGTTTCATGAAGTATTTTCATACTAGAAGATTTGTGAACAGAATATTGAGAAATAAACATATGTTTCATAAGTTACAACCATTACATTTAGAGATAATTAATGATGCTTCTTCGCATTATGATACTGAAATATTTGGCCAGAAATCTCATTCCTTCAAACCTCTTGGATTAATGAAGACCTTGCATTTATCAATATCACCCAGTCTTACTAAAAAAATCATTTCTAAATACAGATAGATGTCAAATTTCGTTTTGAGCAAATTTTAATAAATATTACACTAAATTCCTGTAATTCAACCTGAAAATAAGGGAAGAATTATTTGGGATGTTGTTCTTTCCATTACTCGGTTATATTTTATTATCCTTATCCCAATTGATATGGTATTTGAAGAGAGATTGTTATATTCTGATAAACTAATAATAGTTACAACTCTATAAACTTTTTTATTGATTTTAGACATGTTTATCAATTTTAATACTGCTTATTATCAGTTCGGATAAATAGTTTCAGAAAGATCAAAAATAATCCACCATAATTTTAGCAAGGGATATGGATTAGATGCTTTTTCTGTGATCTTTTTAATTTGTTTATTGTTTGTTGATTGGGATTAAATTGGAGATTATGAACCATTTGTATTTATTGGACTATTATCATTTACTGTTTAATACTAAAATATAACCAAGTTAACTCGAATTTTTGAAGAAGTCTTGAATCTAAATAAAATTTAAGCCGGTTTCCTGGAATTAGCAAAATTAATCACATTGTTACTATACATTTTGCATATTTCTGCATGTATCTGGATTGGGGTATTTATGAATGCTTATAGTAGTGTGGCAGAATAAGTTCTTCTGTAACTAATGGTACTAGTTGGATGGTGAAGGAATAAGTACTTAATGAGCAATGGATAGTTTAATATTTGAGATCATTTTATTTCTGCACTGTGACTATGTTTACTGTTGGATATGGCGATCTAACTCCTTAATGTAGAGTATCGTATTAACTTTAGCTAATTTAGAATATGTGACATGCATCATATTTATCATGATTTTTAGTATCCAATTGCCGTATAGTGTAAATACTGTAGGAGCTATTATTGATGAAATTTCTAAATATAGCGAATAAAAATTGTAAAAGCTTCGCATAATTAATACTTATATGGCTAAAAAGAAGATCACCTATGAATTGTAGGTCAAAATTAGATAATATTTAGCATATTATTGGGAATGTTAAAATACATAACTTTCTCAAGAGGTCAAAGGAATTTTGGAGTAATTATCAGAAAATCTTAGAGATTCTTTAATGTTAGAAGCCAATTCAATTATTCTAAATAGTTGCGACATGTTTTCGAAGTTTCTTTCTCCTGGCTTTACAAAAGCTTTAGTTAATAAGATTAGATATTTGGATGTTCAACCTGAAAATATAGTTGATTTTGCCGATTAACCTGACTCATATCAAAACTATTATTTAGCTTTCATTGAAATTGGAACAATACAAGTAATTCAAGATTAAAACAATTGTAAAAATGATTCATATATTAAACAACTTAGTTCTGGTTAAGTATTTGGTTTATATGAATTTATAACTGGAATATAATGTAATGAGTTTTACAAAAGCAAAGGATTTACGAAATTATTGGTATTACCAAGGAATCAATTTTTAAAAATATTGAGAGATTTTCCAGAAGATAAAGAAAAATATTGTTAAATAAGAGATGATTTACTTTACAATAATGGCGAACAATTTCTGAGAGATATTGGAGTATAATGTTACATGTGTAATTCAAGGGATCATATAACCAAATTTTGTCCTATGGTGCATTATTGTGCAGATAAGGAAAAGATAATTAAATCTCAAACATATATGATAAAATAACCTAGAGTAAAATCAAAAAGAAAAGTTAGGAGAAGCTAATTTAATGGGAAGAGTGACCAAAAAATAATTATGGAAATAGCCTAATATTTTAAAGAAGATTTTTGGAAATAATGCTAGTATTATGAAATTAATGATATTGAAGTTGAACAGCAACAATCCCCTCAATATAGTATTACATCAGATGAAGTTAAAGAAAACATCAAATCAACTCAATAATTACCTATTTCTAAGACAGCCTAAGTTATATAAAATAAGCACATCAAATAATAGAGAATAGGATAGTTAAATGAAATACACTAATCCAGGAGAGCAGCTAGGTAGAATACGATTTCTCCATTAATGAAATTTTCAACCAATCAATAAATTGCTGATTAATACTCTTAAAATGAAATGAAAGTAATACCCAGAGCTCATTCTTCTTTAGTAGAAAATGTCAGTTAGTAGGAAAGTCAAATCACTCCTGAAAAACAAGAGGAAGAGGATGGAACTGCCTAGAAAAGTAATCAGCAAATAGTCTCAATTAAGGTCGAGTAATTCTAGACCAAAAAGAGATGTATGCCATAGCCTTAATAATCACAATTCACAAAACGACTGAAAAACCTAAAAATAGAAATTGAAAAGGATCCTTAAAAGAAAATGAGTTTATTTACTACTACAGATTTAGAACTTTAAGAGAATTGGTCAGCCTTAGAATAAAGAATAATATAGTTAAAATAATTTCAAGAGTAAGAGACAACAGTAGTTTAATTACAAAATTTGTCCATTCTAATTTAGAATTAATTGAATGATAAATTCATGTGCTTGGAAAACTTTGACTTACAAAAAGATTTTCAATTCTATTTACATCATAATAACTTTACTTAACTAGAAGTAAGTAATTGTTATAATAAACATCTAATCGAAAACTTATCTAGATTTATCAAGTATTTATTTTATCCATTCGTTTATATTAAAAAATACTCTAAATTAAATGTTGATGAGGATCATAAATTAGAAAGGCAAAGAAAAACAATGTCCTTTTCTAAAAAGAAGGCAACAGTAGTTATTAAATTTAGAGATAAAGCAAAATAAATTATAAACAGTAGAAGAATAGTTCCAGAATGAGAATACATTGAATATATATATTTATTGTTAAGCGAAGATTAATTCGCTATCCTTATTTAATATTTTCAATATTATTTCATTTTAAAAAGAAGAAATAACGAGGAATTAATACCAAGTTATTATAATTATCCATCTTTTGCAATATCTCGCATGTTATCACTAATAGTAATCAATAATATCCTTCTCTTCTCTTCTTTTTCATTTTCATCCTACTTTTAAATTCTATGGATTTCTTGATAAACAGAAGCTACCTCCTATTTTAACAATTAAATAAATTAATATAGACCTGTAAGAAAAGAGTTAGTAACTTAAATTCAAACAAAAGATAACAATGTTAACTCAAATCAAAAGTTAATTTATAAGAACAAAAATCTTTATTGTTTAATTTGATAAAGAAAATGATAAAGCTAAATAGAAAAAGCATTAATTATTATTATATCTAACATAAGATCTACTTAAATCAGATCTTGATATTTTATATAAATTTTCGATTGATGAATTGTTAGAAAAAAATTTTGTTAATGAAATATTTCAAAAAGATTTGTTTTGAGATTTAGAAGGTTAGATTTTAAGTAATGTTAGTCTTATTTGGGACTTAAACAAAAAGAATGTTTATTGAATATTGTTTATCATTTATAAAATTGAGTATATTGGGTAAAATTTCAACTTTAATATAAATTACTCAATCATTATTTTTGTTAACAAACTTAGATATGGATATTTCTTACTATTTTATGGATCAAAATTATAAAGACAACTTTTATTTAATGATTTTATTGATAAGACTTTGTTATTTAATTTGATATCGGCTCTATTAAGCCAAATAATCTTTGCTTTATATTCTTTAAATGCAACTTAATAAAACAATATAATTAAATCATTGATCTTCTGATTAGTGATCTTTTTGGATGATTTCAGCCGAATTGGTACCATAGAATTCATTTGGTACTTGTTAAAAGTAATTAAAGTTGAATTGCATTTGTTAAGGTTGTGGAAAACCAAAATTATAAAATTAATTCTTATCATCATATACTTGTTGAGGATTCATAATGAATTGAGGAAAATAACCAGACGGATCTTATTAAACTATTTTTTCTTCATCTTTATTTGTTTAATCTAAATATTGCATCATAAATGGAAACTATTGTAATTGCATCATCTAGAAATCCTATAATCTCATTCTTTAATATTTACAAAAGGTTGTTAAGGGAAATAAGGAGCAGTGGGTTAAAACATAAATTAAGGAAAACAAGCATTTTCTAGGAATCCATTGTTTGCTTTATCTACCTATGAATTGCTTTCTTTTTTCTTGCGACCAGCTCCTTTTTACCTCTTTTTTACTTGATGAGAGAAAGGATTAAATTTTTGATGGTGAGATCTTTCAATATGCAAAAGTAATTATACCTACATTGTGAAGGACTTCTAGTTCCTATAGTTTCACTCATTAGTTTAAATATTTTAGATGTTTTCTTTTAATCAGAGGATTCCATGACTGATTTATGTACATTGAGAAAATTGATGTATGTTTTATGTTCTTATTCGCTCCAATGTCCTGTACTCTATTATGGGTTTAAAATTGCTCTCTTTTTGTTTTTTCTCTTTAATATCTACTGAACTTATCCTATGATTGGTTGACCGTTAACATTGGGAGCTTCTTCTTATTTTTAATATTCTTCTTGGCTCATCAATAGATGTAGTTTTTTGATTGGATTATTTAATAATAAATAAATTAAATTCAGAAAGTGTGATGAGATAGCAGAAACAATTAAATAAAGGTAATTAATAATATTGTAATGTATTTATTCATTATTTGAACAAACTGGGTTGAGGACCACCAGGACCGAATGGCATTTTAGGACCTTCCAAACCTAGGTATGATAAATTACATAGATACCAAATATTTTTTGTATATTAGACTTAAAGATGAGTGCTGATAAGATGTAAATGAATATATAGGAACAATCGGTTAAATCCTCACCATTAAGTCCTCTATGAGTAATTTGCTATAGAATCCAAAATGGTTCAAATGGCAATTTGGCAACAACAATTCCTGAATAATAATTACCAATTGAGTTAATTGTAACAATAGAGAGTATAGCTACTGCTGCATTGGAGATCATCTTCTTGAAGGTCATTTCATAATTCAATCCTTTAATTTGTGACTCAATTTGTGCTAATCTCTTTTCTTGATTTTTAGCATTTGTTTCTCTGATAAAACATACAAGAAAAAGAATTACTTGACGAATTATTCCTTCTCCTTATTATATTTTGTGACAGCAGTCTCTATTCTTGATACTAAGTCCTTGTAATCTGCATTCCTATAAACGAGGAACCATGATACTAATTCACCGACTGAAATCGAAATGGCAGCTCCGACTATAATGAAGAGTGTTTCTCCTATATTAATATCCATTTATAAATTTAATCATTTATTGATTTTAAATACTTTAATTTTCAAAGCTTGGCTAATTTATCTAGTTATATTGTACAAGAAATGGACGTGGACAAGAACAGTAATCAGAGCTATTCCTTATAATAACAATCCTTCTTCAATTAAGGATTATCCAAAAATTTACCCATATATCGTATTGAACAACAATACGAAAAAGAGATAAATAGAATTCAAATAATTCGGTAAATCCTGATTGCTAACATGATAGACAGCCACAATACCCTTGAGTAAAGATAATATAAATACCACAGCTTTGCTCATTGTGAAACCAAATATATAGAGAATTGCTCTCATGTGTCTAGAACCAACATCACTTGGGGAGAATTGTATCACATAAAATAGCACTAGGCCCGCGAATAGCATGTACCTTTGAGATTTTAAGGCTTGAGAAAGGGGGACGAATTTTGTAATTTTCTTGAACCTTGATAAATAATATTTGAAATTTATTTACACAAAAGGAAGTCCAAAGGCCACCACTACAAAAAATATTATTATAGCCACAGTATTAAATTATAAATTATAAAACCGTGGCATTTTCTAAGTCCAAAAGTCGCAACCTTAAATAAATTTATTATAAATTACCAAATATGGCATTTATGGCAAATAATGAACCAACAAAAACAGTCCCTTCAGCAGCAGCGTTAATTATTGGCAAATTCATTTCATGCGTGTAGTATTCTTCATGTGCTATGATATAGAATGGATAAGTTGGAACACATATTAATAGAAATGCCAATATTGATTATCCGCATTATAGACAAGTGACGAAATTTGTACCTAAATTACGTCCATAAATTACCTTATATTGCAATGATCATAGAATCAAAATTGTGATCAAGAATCATGCCCAAAGGAGATGAATTGTCTATAAAAACAATGAATTAACTACTTTACTTGTTCTTCTTGCCTGCTTTCCATCTAAGTTATCAAAATTCTAATTTAGGTAAAATATAATTACCATATAGATCATGTGTAAAATGAAGGTTGTCCATAATAACCAACCTGGTATTGTTCCTTAAAAGTTGTCTCCCATCACAAAATAAAATAATATGTGACAAATTATGATGCAAATTAGTCCCAACAGGGTAAGCGTATTAGGACTTTTTTTTATAAAAATTCTTTTACGCCACATTCAAAGGCACATACTTCAAACACCAATTAGCAAAAGGTGAAAGGACATAATTATACAGCAACGATTAATCAGTGCCTTTGTATTTGTATGTTTTTAAAAACTTCAAATTTTCTTGAGCAATAAAGTCATAATTTAATAAATTCATATTTTTATTAATAATGTATACAACTCCTCCTTTCTCGCATAATTATTCAAACCCAGTGCTTATGAAGGATGACGTTGGAAAACCAAAACCATCTACTTACAATTTGCCAAAATAAGATTTTATTTACGGTCTTCCTCTTATAAGAGACAAAGAAGGTGCCAAAGAAGGTAATATCTACTTATCTAATTTACTTCAGTAACAATGACATGGAAATTTCATCAAGAATCTTAAGATAGAATTCCCAATCGTGATTTTGCTGAACTCAATAAGATGTCTGTTTTCAATGGATCTCTTACAGCTCATGTAACTTAATTCGATATTCCTTCTAGGACATGTATAAATTCAGATAAACTCATGATGCTCGTTTACAAGTTAAAAAAGGCACTAACATTTAAGCTATTGAATTACCGGAAGAAGAGTTTAGATACGGAAGAAAAAACAGGTTTATATAATTTTCTTAATAAATTCCTTAGACCATCCACTCCTATGAAGTTAGTGATGGGTAATTCTTATGGAATTGAAGCTGCATCAATTACCTTGGACAAATATTACAAAAGAGCTGGCTCATAAGTATTACGATTTACCATTCATCACTTAGGAATCCAAAATGACTAACACAATTGTCAGACCAAATAAGGCGTCACAATTATTTCATGAAAGCAATCACAAAAAACTTGCAGTGATAAAAGGCACTGAGAAAAAAGAGCCATTTAAAATGGAAAAATTTAAGACAGTAGCAGCTAGAACAGATACAAACCTTATAACAAAGAAAGAGTGATTATCTTAATTTATATATTAATGAATTAAATCAAAAAACTATTAGTCGAAAATTTGAATTACATTTTCAATATTCTAAAACCCTATAAGCATTAGAAGATTTCCTCCTTTGTTGAAATTTAATTACAAGACTTCATTCAATTATTTAGTAGATTACAATTAATCTAAACAAAGCTTCAATAATTATTCAAATTGTGTGACACATTGTAAAAATCCGGAATAGCCTTAGCTCAATCATAAAAATAGATATTAAAAGAAAAAAGCGAAATCTAATTACAAATGCAAGAGATAGAGAAATTACTTTATGATGATACCCAAGCTTCTTTATAAGAAACATAAAAACAAGTTCATGATATCAGCGAATTATGCGGTGAGGCTTATAAAAACCTGCTTGATAATTAATCCTTCGATCTGACAAAGATATCTTAAATATAACCTCCATAAATAGATGATATAGGTGAATGGGATTCAAAATTAGAGAGTTCAAGAGATAAAACTAGTGAATTCGATCAAATTAGAAAGGCCTTTTAAGTATTAGATAAAGCTAAATTATTTGAGCCATCAAATTTACAAATGTTAATGAAATGTGCAGAAAATACAGACAAATAGATATACATGGACTTTTTTCTTTAAGTAATTAATATTTAAAGGAAATAATAAGAATCTAATTCTAAACTAGTTGATGAAAGATCACCTGAATTAAGAGAGCAGATATTATAGATGCCTATATGTTAAGAATTTTCATTTGAGTCCCCGTTGCCATCTCTTAGAGAGCAAGAATAACCTTAATAATAATTTAAACATGTGAAATTAGAAGACCTTTTGAAAATTGAAGAAAGACTTATTTCAGATACAAGTCCTAACAAATAAAATTTTGTAAAAAAACAACCTGCCAATAAAAGTAACATTGATAATTCGTTTTATTCTTAACATAATATAAAACATCTGATCAGAAGATATCCTAACAATAATATTTAAAGAGAGAAGAGCCCTTCTGAACATATATCCAGAAGTAGTTCAAGTTTACTGGTCGAGCAAAGCTAATCAACTAGATAGTAAAAAGAAGTTTTTAAAAGAAAAATTAGTCAGCCTACATCAATTACTGAAAGAAATGGTAATATATGATAATTACTTAAATTTATTATACAAACATATATCATCAGCTTGATAAATATTCTAAAATATTGACACATTTTCTAATCGGATTCTTGATTCTATTAAAATCAAGTCTAACTTATTTTAAGACTTCTTATAGCATATTTTAAACCTATAAATTTGTTATAAAAATTACTTTTTTGTTTGCAGTTGACCCTTTAATCAATGGAGCAAAGTCTATCAAAATTTATTGAATCCAAATCAGACAAGATTCAATGGATCTATGAATTTACATCGATCTTATTATTGTTTCTAATAGCCTAACAATCAATGATTCTGGTATTGCTGGAACAGTATTTATTATTGAATCAACTGGAATCGAATTAAAGACTTGATCTAATATGCTGGCTTCATTCAATTTAAGACTTAAAATTAACGCCTCTGTGTAATTTTATTAATTGATTTATTTTTGAATTACTTCTAAAGATACAGTTTCATCAATATCTAAAGGATCGAAATATTATCTTCTTTTGGCAGATCCAAAAATTGAAACCCCTTCACTTGAAGATACAATAAATTCTCTATTAGATTCTGTAAATTATAGATTAAATACTGAAACAGGAACTCTTTTGCTGCTTCTTTTTGAAACATCAAAAGTCTTTGCTCCTGGTAAATTATCTTTCTATTTTTCATCATCCGATTCTTCAATATTTTTGTTCTCTTTATCAATAGTTTTAAAGTTCACTTTCAATTTCATTCCATCAAGAGAATAATTATTTGAAATGATAAATCTCCTTATCAATATTCGATATTTCATATCGTAAAGACAAATAAATTTGCTATTGCCTCCTCCAATCAAATATTACCCATCCTTTGAGAACTCAATTGCAACAAAATATTTTAAATTCTAATTTTTTTAAGCTGCCAAAGTTTCCTTTGAAATCCTACCTCCTTAGACATCTCTATGAACATCAAAAGTGAATAATATTAAGCTTTCATTAACATCCCAAATGACCAATTCACCACCCATAGTGGCTACTGCAATTTAATTAGATCTAGTAGCAAGCGCAGTAACTTCACTATTATGTAACATTGAATCTCCCCCACTTCCTTCTTTCATTCCTCTTGCATATAAATCATGAATTCTTATAGTTTTATCCCAAGAACCTGAGATTAATAATACCTTCTCCTCTGCTTAAATGAATTTAATAGATGTAATTGGTGCTTAATGGCCAGATATAACTTCTACTAATTGACCAGTTTATAGACTGAATACATATACTTCATAAGGATCAAATCCACCCACACATATCAAATCACCTGAAGGCTCTACATCTAAGCATTATAATTAATTCAATATTTCAGGTTACATAACTCTAAAGCATTTTAATCTAATAGTGTCATAGGCTCTAACAGTTCCATCAAGTGAACATGAGAGTAAGACGCCTTATTTCGAAGGACAATATTTGATGCCTGTGACTTTAGAACTATGTTAATCATTAAATTTAGCAATACAAAAATTCGAAGTCTGATCATACAATCGAATTATTCCTCCTAATGTTCCAACAGCGATTGTTGTTAGATCTTAACTAATTGTACAGCAAGTAGTTTCATAACTCAATGATTATTAATTTAAAATGTAGCTTTAAGATCTCCATTCCCAAACAATCAATTATCCACTATTTCTCATGCCAAGGGCAATCCAATTTCCATTTTTGTTAATCGCCAAATTATCAATTTGTGTTTATGTTATTTGGAAGCTTTATATTTAAATTAAGAAGGGATCTTCAGAAGGTTCTATTTTAAATAAAGTCAAAACTCCGTTTTTCATTCCAATTATCATCATATTTGATGTATGATATGCAACTGATTTTATTGCTGCGAAATGCTTTACCAATTTCTCTTTAATATTTATCTTCTTTTCCAAAATAAATCTACCTTGATGAACGTTCTTCTCAAAATCACTCATGTACAACAATTCATCTATTGAGTATTCAGAGTAATCATTTTCAACTCCTAAATGATGTTAAGCCTTCGTTTTCTGGAATTTTTATCTGGCTTCATATTATTCAGTAACATAATCAGTAACAAATTTCCATAAGCACACCTTTCCTAATACATCGATGGTTATAATGTATTAAATATTAGATCCTAAGAAAAATGCTGAAGCAATTTTGAATTTATGAGCTTGCAACATAATATCAGTGTATAATCTCAATTTAAAGACATTATTAATAATGACAGAATTATCATCACCCCAAGATAAAATGAATCGACTATCTGGTGACCAGCAAATACCATTGATTTTATGCTTATTGGAATGTACTTTTATCTTCTCCATTTCTAAATTATAGATAATTAATTTATTGAGGTAAGCAATGGCTATCATTTTTCCATCTGGACTATGCTTTATTTATTTAATTTGCTAGTTTTTACTCTTAATATGTTTTCCATTGCATAGAATGTTGTATTAATCATCTACGCTTGAATAATATTGTTGATTGTAAACGCTGAAGTATTTTACATTAAATCTGGTTTAGATTATTGGCTTTACAGTGTTGTTATATAGATTATACTCCATCAATCTATTTCCTGATCCACAAATTAAGATATTATCTGAAGTAAATTACAGAATTTTGCTTGTTGTTGGTGAAGTTAAGAGACTTTATTCTTCGAATTATGTAATCATCAGAATTATTATTTAATTAATAACATATAAAATATTCAAATAATGTCTTTGTCATTTATAGAGTTTTCTTATTAAGGAATCTCAACTGCTTCTTTCGACAATATCGCAACAGATACCCAAGGTTCTTCATGTAAATCTTCCTAAACATAATTGCCTTTATATTCTGCAAAACTTTTTTTATTATTTGGGTCACTAAAATATAAGAAATTCTTAATACCTCATCTATGTTGAATCCAAACCGCCTTCTTCCTATAGAGGTTCAAAGCCTGCAAATTTAGAAATATAGACTTTATGCTTTTTGCTCAATTTATTCTGTAATAAATGTAAAAATTCTAAAGCTTCTTCTCTCATCCCTAAAACACTCATTGAAGAAATAAATCTTTATATTCTGTTCAAATTATGAGTATAAGTAAAAAGACACTAATCAAATTAAGGCTCATCAATTATTTCTAGTTCCTATCTTTCATTTCGAATAATTCCAAGAAATCTTAAAAACATTCCAACATTTTGTTTATATTGTTTCATAATCTTAATAAACATAATACTTTACATCAGGATCTTGCACGAATTTGTTTCTCTCTTAGGGTGTTAATCTGTAGCTATTCATATTTAAAAATGATTAAAAGAAATTAGGGTATAACCATTGCATGTACTATTTGTCTGATTCGAGATCAGAGTAAAATTTCGTCAACTGATGATTTTGGGTATTATTCATCCAATGTTTTTGATGAAAACTCACTGAAGGGTGTAAATTTATTGGATAATCCCCTTTATAAAAGTCAATGTTAGGAAATTCTCTTATTTTTGCTTTCAAAACAACTCTACTTCCTGGTTGAGGATCGCCATCACTTGATGTACATTACCCCATTTTATAAATTATCAATTATACGATTACTTCAATTATTTATTAATCATGCTAAAAAGCATATGGATATATTCAACAAAAATAAGCAAGAACACAGAATCTTAAATCTGAATAATATAAAGACAAAATTGTTAAATAAAAATTATCCAAAACTTTTTTTTAAGTATGATTATTAAATCTAATTCTTTACCCTGTTCTCCAAATCTCCTAAATTCTATTGGTGTCTATATTATTGAGAATTTAAAGTTATCTTTGATCTCTAGTTAAGAAACCTCTCATGAATTTAAAAATATATTTGAGAGCAAAGTATCATTTATAATATATTTAGGTTTACAAAACAAATATTTTGCATAATTCTATAAAGATTTGAGAATGTAATCATTATTTTCAATATAAAACAACACGACTAAAGCTTAAACTGATGGTCATAGTTAATTTTTATATAAAATTAATATGATTCAAACAAAAGGACTCATAAAGAATATTCAATTTCACCATATAATGCTTGATTCCTTATAATAAAAACATTAAAATATCAAAGAAAAAATTACTTTTGATAATCAGTGGAATATCCAATCTTTTATTTATTTAATAAATGTAATTTTAAATAAGCTAATTCATAATATAGCTAATCTCATTTGCATAATAAAAATAATATTATATCAATATATAATCATTAACGGAAAGGCTAATAATTTAATTAATATATATGAAATAGATTAAGTCAATAAAATACATCTATCACCTAATATACAAATAACACTGAAAAAATGTAGAGAAAAATGATTATTCACAAAAAAAGAAACATTTTCGTACCCTAAAATGGTTGAAACACTTTCGACTCAATTTATGAGAAAACTATTTGTGTATGGGGAAAAATCAAAAAATACTTTTTTATGGCAAAAAAACTTGAGAATCTGATACTTTAGTTCCAAAAGAACCTTTAGATTTTTAAAGTAAATTTGTTAAAAGAGAAAAATAATAATAATAATTGTAATAATTATTATCTTGTTAACTTTATTTATGGTTATATTTTTTTATGTTTATAATCTAAAAAATTATTATATGGTTATTATTCATTTAAATTTATTAACCTCCACATTATTTTATTTGATTTATTTGTAATCATCATTATGTAAAATCCAATACAATAATTCAACCAATGAAGAATTTATTTCATTGATTAACTCATTCAAACAGTCCTATCTGATGCAACACATTAGATGGTCGAGACTATTAATACTTAAAATTAACAATTGAGCAATTCAACTAAAAGTTTTGAAGAAATGAGGAAATAATCTAAAATGAAATGAATTAATTGAAATTAAAGATTAAGCATGGGAGAGATAGACGAAATAAATACATACGATTACATCATAAATATTCGGTCTCTCGGAAAAGAACTTCGAGAGTAGATAATAAATGCTTTTTTATCGCTTAAAAATGAAAATTAAGTGTAATGTAGTCTGAAGTTACTAAAGGAAGGAAAATACAATAAAATAATCCTTATGTAATAAGTCAAAAGTACAAAAACTTTATTATAATCATAGAAGAAATATTCAGACAATGCTAAGTTGAATTAATAATCAACAATCAAATAATCAACAAAAAAAATATAATAAGATGAATTTAGCTCAGATTCCTATGAGGAACAGTTCTTTTGTAAAATATGTAAAAAAAGGACTATACATTTCCTTTTAAACCTATAAAATACACTCGAAAAAATGGCAATAGGTGAAAAAATGATAAATAAGAGAAGAAAGGAAGATTTTAAAAAGGAGGGAAATGAAACCATTGACATCAACAATAAATTTGAACCCTCCACGAATAACCCACATAAAGAAATTTAAACTAATTTTCTAACGATAAATATTAATTCTTATAGAACTGAAACACACTTTTACATACAATATTAAAACGCTCATATTATTTGGTTATAAGAAGTAAAAAATACTTAATTTAGCGATTCAATAAATGATAAATATTATTTTAAATAAATGATCTGGGGGTATAACCACAGGCATACATAGAGATTTTAGCACCTTAGATATGTCAAATGTATTATTAATAAAGACCTTGAATATTTTGTTATTAAGAGCAGTTACCTAATTTATAGATTTAATAATCATTAATGATAATAAAAAATGGTGTTTTAAACAATTATTATAATGTAATGAATTATTTCAAAATCGTTAATCAACTCTAAATTTAGTTGGATGTAATTATGCTTATAATTTAAACAATTTTTATATTGGAATTATTTATTTAAAAATTCATTAATCATCTCCATAGTTAGTTTGATATTAATATTTATAATTTCAACAATTATTATAT